AACTTTAAAGGAAAAAGCACTCTCTCGCGGAAATTATGTTATCACAACACACAGCACCTTTAAATGCTCTCACGGGCTACAGTAAACATTAGCAGTGGTCACCTGGTACTTACCTAACCTTAATTTGGGATTAATTTTAATGCGTCTAACACAATATAAAGCTATTTAAAGAAAACACTCTCTCGCGGAAATGTGTGTTTCACCTGCTAAACGTACCTTTAAATACCTCACAGAGGATGGAAAAGAGCTGATATGGTCTCCAAATACAGTACTCATAATATAACACTAATATGCAACAATATAGTGCATTAAATACAACTTAAAACTGTTTAAAGGAAAAGGCACTCTCTCGCGGAAATTATGTTATCACAACACACACAGCACCTTTAAATACACTCACGGGCTACAGTAAACGTTGCACTTAGCAGTGGTCACCTGGTACTTACCTAACCTTAATTTGGATTAAATTTAGTGCGTCGAACACAATATAAAGCTATTTAAAGAAAACACTCTCTCGCGGAAATGTGTGTTTCACCTGCTAAACATACCTTTGAATACCTCAAAGGAGCTCATATGGTCTCCCATATACTTATCTAACACTTACATGGAACAATATAGTGCATTAAATATTTAAAAACTGCACAATTTTACACCTTTTCCCCAGTTTTTAAATATTCAAAAATCTGTATCTCATTCACTGTTCCCCAGTTCTGTGCCAAACAACTTTTTTCTGTCCTGGAAAAATCAGACCTACAACATATCAAAAAACCGTTTTCCCCTGGAATTCTAATAAGAAAAATCCTCTTTCGTATTTTTATTATACATATACTTGTCTTATACAAATCTTATATATACACATATATACACAAATCTTATATATATACACACATATATATATATACATACATATATATATACATATATATATACATATATATACACATATATATATACATATATATATAAATATATATATATATATACATGTATATACACACATATATATATAGGCCTTTATATATATGAGCCTATATATATATGTATACATATAGGCAAACGGCCACATAATGCAAAACTATTTAAAATTAAAACGGAACAGCATTATGTGGCCGTTCGCTGTTTTATGGGTTTTGTTCTGTTAGGCATAGATAACACATATAACAAATCAAATAGATGACAATGCTCAAATATAGGAACATGATATACCGTATTGTGTATTCGCTTACATTATACTCTCATGATACTGAACTGACACTTTCTTGACCAGACACCTAAAGTAGAATAGGATAAATGACCATCATATCGGCCTGTGTTTTTATTGGAAGTTTGATATTTAGCACACAATAATTAGGTCTGCAGTTTTACCATGAAGGTTGTCTTATTTATAACATAGGGAAAAATGTGTTACAATCGTCTGACTCAGTTTATTGTTTGATTAATTTATGCAAATGGTCAGAGGCCTACCATATTGAACAATAAATTTTCAGTAATTAGAAGGATTTTGATTAAAAGACTATAACAATAATAAGTAATGCTGATGATAATGACGATACTGCTACTGCCTTTGGGGAAGCCGCCTGGTGCCATTATCATAAAATTTTCATCTAAGTCCTTCTCCGGGCCCCTTCTATTTCAAATTCCATGATCCGCCACTGACTGCTGTAGTTACCACACTTACAATAACAACACCACAATTATATTGAAATATAAAGTTAAACATATCATGATAACCAGTGGCGGCACTGCAGAGGGGCTAAGTGGGAGTAGAGTTCCCCGTCGGGAAGGCATGAGGTCTGGTTCCAACCCCAATCCCAGTTGGGGACGAAGAGAGCTTCGCCGGCGTAAAAATAAAGAACATTTTAAGAAGTTTATGTAAAATGTAAATGAATTTAATATAGCCCTATGTGTATAAGAGACAGATCTCTATGGTATAAGTGCATGTCGTTGGCAAGTTGTTGCTAACGAAAAAATGTGAATTATAGGGTAATACGCCCGCGCGCGATCCAAAAGCGGGGAACACATAGGTTTGTCGCGTCAAAGGGATCTGTTGCCGAGTGATCTCCTTCTCAATAATACCTCCATGGTTTTAACAAGGTAATTCAACAAAAGGACGCACATCTCGGGACATAGATGTGTATAAGAGACAGATCTCTATGGTATAAGTGCATGTCGTTGGCAAGTTGTTGCTAACGAAAAAATGTGAATTATAGGGTAATACGCCCGCGCGCGATCCAAAAGCGGGGAGCACATAGGTTTGTCGCGTCAAAGGGATCTGTTGCCGAGTGATCTCCTTCTCAATAATACCTCCATGGTATAATAGCGCATGAATGACGCCCTCTTGCTAAATTGGAAACTTTTGAACCTTGACCGACGCTTCTATTTGTTACGCGTAAATCGCGGAGAACGCTATCTTGTGTTTATAAGATCTTTGGTAGAAAACAAAGATCTTATAAACACAAGATAGCGTTCTCCGCGATTTACGCGTGCAAATTCTGTAATAAGGCATGAATGGCGCCTTCTTGCTAAATTGGAAACTTTTGACCCTTGACCGCTATCCTGTGAACAGCAGAACAGGAACCATCTCAGATCCATGGCAACAGATAGGAAGCCCTCTTCCAAAACTGATTACTTTTTCTCTTTGGTATAATAGCGCATGAATGGCGCCCTCTTGCTAAATTGGAAACTTTTGAACCTTGACCGACGCTTCTATTTGTTACGAGTAAATCGCGGAGAACGCTATCTTGTGTTTATAAGATCTTTGGTAGAAAACTTTTAAAACTCTGTGCACGTATAACGTATACGCGGGTGAACGTCACGCACGAGCGGTTCAATGCGCGTGTGCAGACGTACAGCTAACAGTATGGCATTAAGGTGTTCAGCTTTTAATTGTTATAATAACAGCCAAAAAACCCCAAATTGCTCCTTCTTTCGTTTCCCTAAAGAAAAAGAGCAGTGAGTACAAAGCTCTGTATAATAATTTTGTGGAAAAAAAAAGTTACAATTTGTTATAAGTTGATGTTGCTAAGTGATTTCTGTCAATGTACATGCCTAGGCCTAGGTCTACATTACGCTCAACAATTAACAACAAGTTAACAATTTGTATAACATTGGTTGCTAAGTGACTTCTGTTAATGCAATGTGTGGTATGCCTAAATTGACAGTGTGCTAAATGTAGGCATAAAGATTGACAGTGCTAAATATTGGCAATGCGTGGCGGTTTGCCTATTAGTTACTGTATTACAATTTTAAATTAATTAACCCATTTATTATATATAGGCCTAGTCTAGGCCCCTTACTAAAAACCATTGAATAAGTGCTTTGTCTAACCAGGTCCCGTGAAAAGGGTTAACTGCAAATTTTTTTTTGAACAGATAGGCCTATCCTGTGCCTAGACTGTTTTCTTCATGTACTTGATTCTTACTTACTATAAGCGGCACTTCTTTTATCGCATTTCATTTTCAGATGTGGAAAGTGGATCCAAAATATGAAGAAAAATGACTTATGGGATAAGTCAACCGATTGTCTCTATAAGAATTATAAAATCTGTTCAGATGATTTTGAGCAATCACAGATTCTGTGTACAGGCAGACTGGTGTGGAATGCCGTCCCAACTAAACTTGAAATTCCGATTCAAAGAAAGCCCATAAAGCATAAACTACAATTCAAAAATGAGGAAGGCTACACAAGTGCTAAAATAATTAAATTTTGTAAGTCATTTCACTAAATTAGTAAGAATGTTTGTTATCGTATTAGGATGGAAGAATTGTAGTTGTACCTCAATTACACAATGTCTCAATCAGCTCCAATATTTATATCTGGATTATAATTTTGACAACAGTTTTTAAAAAAGGCCTACTTTATATAGGCCTAGGTCTAAGATTTCAGAAAATTATTTGACAGGTTTTTTTTTTTTATGTTTGTATATTATTTTTGGCTAAATGTTGATGTATTAGCTTTGCTTATTATAGGTTTAATATAGGCCCTTTATAAATTATTTATATCATTGTACTGCAATAGGTTTAAAAGAAGACCACAGCTATATGCAAAGCATTATTCATTGGAAAATGAACCAGACGAACAAACAAGCACTGGAAATCACTCCAGTATAATAGAACCAGGTATGGCCTACGATTTGATTTTTTTTAAAAATTTAAACAAACAAGAATCGCCACTTGCAGAATTGTAAAAACATAAAAATATGCCTATAACAAATTATAGAGGATATAGGCCTATATTTATGAAGTGTTATTTAATGGTGTGTTTTCAGTTGGAGATATTGGGTTAAACTGAGACCCATTTTAAAGTAACAGCATGGTTTGTATATTCAAATCTGGCGTTATGCGTGTGTTCATCTGTTTTGATGTTAAATGATTGTAACCATTTTTACTTGTGCTCCTTGCTTTTCAGAACCCAAAGCACCTTTGGAAGTTACAGAAGATACTATTCTTGACACACAAATGGATGCACCTGTCTCTTATACACATCTAGATGTGTATAAGAGACAGTTTGAACCTTGACCGACGCTTCTATTTGTTACGCGTAAAACGCGGAGAACGCTAATTTCCACCTCATTTTTACTGTGCGAGTGCTCTATCTTGGTATTTCTAGTATCTTTGCTAAGACCAATACAATAAACTTGAGAGTTACTAATGCTGTCTTAACAATTGCATAATGTGATGCATAAGAGAGTTCTCGGTCTGTTTGATTTAACGGGTCTTTCTGATGGGATATTAATGTCTCCTGAAAACATGTAGACTGAATACAAATTATCAACGTGTATAATGCCACTATCTGGAGGGCGGTAGAATGATCGTGCGATAATTGGTTTGGTAATGGGCAGACTGTCGAAACTCAGTTTTCCAAATCCCAGGTTGTCGAGTCCATTTTGCCGAAACCCAGTTTGCCGAATATTAAAACTATCAACTCAAAACTGGGAAACCCAGTTTGCCAAATCCCAGGTTGCCGAACGTAAATATCAAAATAACACGATGGATAATTCACGATGGAACACTCTCTTACCCGCCTTATTCAATTCAATTCAATTAACATTTATTCAATTAATTAATCAAATACATCAAATGATAAATAAAGTGGACAACATTAAAATTAATTAAATTCATTATTGTGTTAGTCAAGCTTAGGCCTGTATCCACACTCTAGGCATATACACCAAGCGCAATGATTGTCCTCCAGCCTGCTACCAAATAAATTTCATAAAGAATTATTAGGCTACAATTACTCATATTTTCCAACCCGTTTTCATTTTATCCCTTTCTTACTATTAGCACGTCCTTTTTTTTTTTATACTTCCTGACCTTTTTTTCCTGTGATCTTTTGTTACGGTATGTTTTACATGCTATTGAGTGTACGGTATATAAGAGCGCAGTTTTTACCCTAAAGCCAGGCACTCATTGCGTCGGACGACAGTTATACGACCATCGACCGACTTAAATTTCGCGATTCCCATTTGCGATCCCCAAATATTCTAGATACGTCATTGATAACCAAAGCACAGTAGACTGCACCTCTTTGTACTTTCTACCCACGACGGTGAATAGAATTTCAACCTACTGTATTAGTATAGTTGGTCAATTTCGGCAAAACAGGTTTCGGAAAATTGGATTTCAATTTTGAGTCCGTAAAATGGCATTTGGCAAACTGGGTTTCGGCAAAGTGGACTCGGCAATCTGGGATTCGATAAACTGGGTTTCAAACGGGGGAAGGG